GGAGACTGTTTCAGAGTCTGTGACTCCCTCTCTCTCTGACCCTCCCCTGCTCACGCTGTCTTTCTCTCTCTCTCCTAGAAATAAATAAAAAATAAAAATAAATAAATTTTAAACATGTATTACTTCAAAGGGCAAAACATTTATTTGGTTCTACATATTTCAGTATATTTACTTTAAAATGAAAATACATCCCAGGGTGCCTGGGTATTTTCAGCTCAGGTCATGATCTCCTGGTTCCTGAGTTCCAGCCCTATATCGGGCTCCACACTGACAGTGCAGAGCCTGCTTGGTGTATTCTCTCTCTCTCTCTCTTTCTCTTAAAATAAATAAATAGCACTTTAAATAAATAAAGAAAGTTAAAACATGTCCCTATAGAGACCCATCTTATATTCTTAAGAAGAGACTTCATAGTAATCACAAAGTGTCATAAAACTCATGCATGTTCTATGGGGCCCACAAGTTCACTGTAATGGGATTTTATCATAGAAGCACTCTGCTCAAATTCAAAAACAAGTCAAAAAAGAGACAATGGCTACTTCTATGTCCACCACATGTCCATTGCCTAAAACATCTCTAAGATTTCTTCCCTTGGTCTTCTCTTCTTTCTCCCTGTAAGCCATCTCCTCCTATATGCCTCATCTTGACATCTTGACTAAAGTCACATTGACCCCCAACACTCAAGTCAGAGATATGAGAGTCATTCTAATTTTTCTGCATCCTGATTGTCCCCCACTTCTGATCAAGCACCAACTCCTGTCGGTTCCATCTTATCAATATTTCTTACCTCCATTTCCTACTCCTCATGTGCCATGCCTCTGCCCTGCTTCAGGCTGTCATCTGTGGAGATAGCAGGACTGTCTAATAAAGAACCCAGGAGTCGTTTCCTGAGTGTGTGGCAAGGGCCCACCGAGCCAGTTTCGCTATCACCCCCTACGCCCAGCGACAGGGACTGCACCTGAACACAACTTCCGACAGGTCCCATGGTTTCCTCACACCGAAAAGGAGCTGCATTTTCCCACAGTGCCCAAAGCCCATATGTGCTGGGGTTTCCAAATAACCCTGCAAGTAGTTGATACCCAGACTCAGACTGCTTAGTACCAAAGCAAAGACTGCTGTTGCGAGCCTTCAACCATTCCCACCCTTGCCTCATAAGAAAAGGAGAGCAACAGAGGGCCCCGTGGTTTCTAGGGATATTCTGTGCCAGGGCAGAGCCTCGGTGTAACCAGCTGAGCTTGGCTCCCGTCGCCCCTCAGCAGGGGATGTTGATCAACTCTGCTGCTTTGCACCTGTGATTGCAAACAGCTGCAAGGGGTGCCACCGTGTTTGCCCTATCCCTCCTCCCCAGACTACCACCTGCAAAACTCATCCCTTCTCCATATTCTCCCGAAGGTCAGACAGGTCACTTTCTGTCTCAAATTTCCCTCTGTAGAACAAGGTCCAGGTCCCTCACGTGGTCTACAAGGCCCTAAACAGTCTAGCTCCAACTTTCCTTTCCAGGTACATTTTCTGCCATTCCTTCTCTCCTCTTCTCCATCCCTGCTACACACACACACACACACACACACACACACACACACACACACAGCAGACATACAACTCCATTCACTTGCCTTGACAGGGATAATCATTCCCACACTGCTACCTCGTAACAAACAGTGGTCCAGAACACAAATGCTTCCTCCTCTGTGAAACCTTCTCATTCCACCTAAGAGACTGGGTCCCTGCCTCCACTCCTCTCACTAGAGAGGTGTAGTATAACCTTCCTGAAGACGGGGTCCAGGGACTGTGTCTTGCCGCCTTTGCTGCCCTTCACCTAGCATAGGCCTGGCACGTGGTAGGCACTTGAATGTTTGATGAAGAAATCAGCAAATATATAAATAAATGATATCAACTTCTAAATGCATCTCCCTGAATATTGGTGATGAGCTTTTTTGCCTCGTGTCCTCAATGTAGTCATTTTTCAACTATCTTCAGTCTGTTATTGTTTGCTCTTAAAAGGGTTTCATTGACAATGAATCTGGAATTCCCTCTACAACTTTGGAAATTTTTAATATGCCAAGTTGCCTAAGGTAAAACTACAATATGCAATGCAGAATCTCTTCTAAAAACATCACCTGGAGCTCAATTTTAGCCTTCAAAGTGTATTTTCCTTAAACCATACTTTAAACAGTAATATAAATGCTTACAGAACTCCAAACAGCAAATTAATATTAATGGTAGTAACAATAATAATTCCTTCTGAAGTACTTGATTGAAGGCAACAGATAGCCCAACAAGTTGACACGCAATCAAAATTTCATATTTTTCATCAGAAAAACAATTCACCACCAATGACAGATAACAGTAGGGCTACTAAAACTACCTGTCATGCATTTAATGAAGACAGATTCTCTGTCTACCACATATAATATGTAATATCCAAAAGTGTGGCTGTAATTTATAGCTAATTAGTGCCTTGCTGTTAGGAGAAGTGTCATGGCCCTACCTCTCTTTCATATCTACTCAGACCTCATCAGAGCTGACAGCCATGCAAGGATCACAACAAACCAATTAGCGCCTACCCCAACCTTGGGCCACTGCTTCGAGCCCACCCAAGCATCAATAAATCATGCTTCTTCAGGAAGCTCTTTTCTGACAGCTGCAAGCCATTGCCACCCAAGGAATAAAGACAATACTTCTAAGGAAAACTCCTGTATGAAAGATAGAGATAGAAAAGGGGTATTACTTGCCTTCCTTTGGCAGCAACACAGTCAGCAAAATTGAAGACCATCAATTCAAGCTGAATAAGGGGACAACTGTACTAGAAAATAAATCCATGACAGGTATATCTGACGATCCTTAGTGGTAATCAACAGTCAGCAGTTGGGTTGTTTGTTTGTTTGTTTGTTTGTTTTAATGTAGACGTATTGAAGACCTTTTTCTTTCCATTTTTCTCTTGGATAGCCCTCCTTCCGGCTAATAAGAAAATTTTCCTTTCCGTAGAATATAATGGTCTGCATTTACTTTGTCCTCCAGTGAATACACAGCAATCAGATAATTCATTTGAAAGACTAAATTGTTTGACTTCATTCAAAAAGAATCCATAATGATATGCTGGTTTCCAGGCAAGGCCTACAAAGCTTCCTAAATCCATACGCAAGCGCTAGAGTATTCTCAGCACATAACAGCCAATATCCTTGTAATTTTGTTCTAAGCCTGTAAAGCTGTTTTGTTCCATAATATTCTACTTAGAAAGTGTTCAGAATAGTCACTGTAGCCTGGGCATTATTCAAAGATATGACTCAGGCAATTCTACTTTTAGTTTGTTTTCCTCATAGAAATATTCTTTTTCTCTATGTTTAATGCTAATCTAAAACATTTAATATAGGTTTTAGCTAAATAATGGTTACCTACTTTTACATATAAATATTGGGAAAGCCAAATAAACAAACACAGAGGCATTTAAATAAGGAATTCTCTTACATCACTTATCATTAAGAATAGAGATTTCCAAAAGACTCATTTTTCTTCCTCTGAATAAATATTCTCATGGAACTCTTCAAATATTTATCTATAAGGATGTCCACTGCATCGTATTTCATGACAGCAAAATAATTAAACTAATGAAATATACAAAATATGAAATAGATTACATGATAAAATACCCATTCAATGGATGATTACATGGTTTCTAAAAATACGAATTAGACAAATATTAAAGGACGTGCAAAAAATATTCAAGGATACTGAAAGAATTAAAAAAATTGAGCCTAGAACCATTATGTGTATGTGTGTATACACACACCCCTATATTTATACATATTTTTTCTATACAAGATGATCCCAATTTCTTTCCTGAATATGAGTGTGTGTGTGTTTACTTAAAGAAATAAAGGTTAAGCACAGAAAAAACCTTGCCAGGAAAGCTATTTCAATATTAAAAATATTTCTTCAGAAGGTGATATTTTAGATTATGATATCTTAGATTATTTTAGATAATCTTTAGATTATTTAGATTGTTTTATAAAAATGTTTACATTGCTTCCATAATCGGAAAAAAGTTATTCTATCTAATAAAATATTCACTTACGTCACCTGGGTATATATAGGTGTGCAAGTCCAATCAAAATTCCTAGGACACATGGGCTCAGGGCCTGCTTCACCACTGCACCATGAAGGCCATGCTGACTTCCAGCTCAGTGAGCCAGGCAGCCACAATAAGATACAATAAGCATTTACCGCAGGGTAAGAGGGATAAAAGAAGGCAAAATCTCTTCCCCCAAAAGGTTAATATCTAGTTGGCGAAACAGAGTACCTGCTTTAAAGGGGATAGTAACATACAATGGACCTGGACAATACAGAGATCAGAGCAAGCAAGGAGAGAAAAACTCTCATGTGACAAATGAGACGTCTAAATGGTCTTTAAGAAAGGATATTCTATAGCTTTGCAACATACACTGAGAGACTGATTCATGAAAACAGAAGCATGCATATTAGCTCCTGTAACTATTTAGATAATTCTCAGGTCTTACCTCCTTCTAAGACAATGTAAAGTCAACATGTATTTGACTCTTAGCTGGAAAACTACAGTTGACCAAATTTTACATGTCATGGGGTTAACTAAATGCATCTGCATCCAGCATTTCAATTCATTTGCTGTCTACCAGGCAGACAAATGAAATGCAAAAAATGAAACTGTTCTGTGGAAAGACCAAATTTGACAACAGTATGGTTTCCACTCTTTGCTTATTATTTCCCTACAAGGATAGACCCTTAGATAATACAAAGTGAAAAAATGCAGCCAGACCTGTTTAATTTTCATTTCATAGAGAGACTTCTATCCATAGATAGAAATTGTTAATTTCTATATTACTCTTGGGTCGTTCAGATTTAATTTTGGCACTTAATATGAAAATAAGAAATAAGGCAAATTTCAAATTAACTTGTCCATGTGCACACATCAGGTTCATGACTACAGACTCTCAAACCCATATTTAAATCACACAAAACAATGCCCATACCTGAAAGGGCGAAATCTCCTTTTTGGCTTTCACTTTCTCTGATTAGAAAGGCACCAGTCTGGTTTTTTGGATATAATAGTTGTTTTTCTGCATCTGTTCTCTTGATTGATCCAAAGAACCACCTAAAAAGACAAATGTAAACTTTAATTAACCAATCAACCATCATTATTTAAGGAACAGGAAGTTTGGCAAAAAAGTAATCTAACATCAGAAATGTTTACTATTACTTAGTGACAGTATCATGGGTATAAATGGTAGCCTTTGATACTTGAGATGATTTTTCTGAATATCTGTAACCCTTACCAAGAGTCTTTTAAAAATTATAAAATAAGAATTTGGCTGATGCCTGCTACCACATCCCTTCTCACATCTGATTCTGTCTGAGAGATCATGTGTCTTCCTTCTGCCAAATCCAAAGCCACCCGGGTGGGCCCGCCATATTAGTCTGCTGGGTTCCATGCTCTACAATTACTCATCATCACCATCAAACTGTTTGCTGCCTCACCTAACACCTTCTATGTGTTAGGAAACAAACATTTCAATCAAAGGATTCATACAAGTCACGTTAAAGTGTGAACAATTAAAAATGTAGTTTTCTGAACATTAATTCCCTCCCCCCATCCATTACTACCTAACCCCACAATAATATGCAATGATTTTCCATGTTTTGGAGGAAGTTATCAAATATAAAGGAAATTTTCATTGTTGGAGAGATTATGTGAAAAAGAGACTTCCACCTGTGAAGTACCTTCTTAGTGCCACCCCCACTTCTTATCTTTACCCTCTTATCCTGATCATTCCAGAAATACGAGAGTCAGATACTGAACACACAAGTGTGTGAATGTAATCAACCCTGGCAAAGAATTATGGATTTTAACATCAGAGCCAGTCTAAGATATATATCAAGTCAGAAGACACCAAGGTGATAATAAGAGGAAGCTGAAAAAATATGCTTTTCACTGATGACCACTCACTCTAGGGTTAAAAAGTTGATCTTTGTCATTTAACATTTTAGGTAAAACATTTATCTTTTCAGGTATCATCTTTTTTTTTTTTTTTAATTTTTAAATGTTTATTTTTGAGAGAGAGAGAAGAGCACGATTGGGGAGGAGCAGAGAGAGAGAGACACATCCACACAGAATCCAAAGCAAGCTCCAGGCTCTGAGCTGTCGGCACAGGGCCGGATGAAGGGCTTAAATTCATGAACCATGAGATTATAACCTGAGCCGAAGTCAGACACCCAACGGACTAAGCCACCCAGGTGCCCCTTCAAGCATCATCTTTAAAAATGTAGACAGTCAGAGAAAATGTAGGCTTGAGGGAAGAAATACAGGCCTTGTGAGGAACTGCAGGCTGAGACAGGATATACAGGCCAAATAAAATTGACTCCAATTGGTTTGACAAGTCATGGATATTGGGGAGTATGAGTGCACCGAGGGTGACACAATTGGAGGGAAGAGGGGAAAGGAAGTTAAAACAGAGACTTTAAAATATAATCATTACCTTCTGACAAAGCCAAGGTATTTGTTTACCATTTTGCCAATCATCAAGTTGCTAATTACACAATATTACTTATATCAAGAGTAATGAACTCCTGGTAATTAATTATATACGAGTGAGAACAATGCTAAAAATCTCCACGGTTTAAGACAACAAAGATCTGTTTTTCACACATCTGCCTGTCTACCAAAGGTCACCTGGGGCTCTGCTCTGTGTCTATCTCTATGTCTGCCAGGGTATTTCCATCTCTATGCTTCCATGATTGCTGAGGCGGGAGTAAAACATGTGGCAAATCACACACTGGTTCTGGAGCTTCTATTTAAAGCTTCTATGCAAGAATGAAGCCATTGCAAATAAGTCATATGTTCATGCCCAAATGCCAGGAGAGTGGGAAATGGTTTCCCAGAAGGAGAGAGAGCTGGAATTGTTTGGTAGACTACACTAATGACTGCCACACTGATTCAACAGCAGGGACCAAATTGATGTCCATAGACAATTGTTTATCTAGCTGAAATTATGGAAGGCATGGAAACATTCCAAGGGGATATGTGATGAATTCATAGAAAAATAAAAACCGCATGCTTTCTCTGACTGCAGAAATAAGTCAATAGAATAACGGAACAGCAACAACAACAACAAAGAAAAAGCAACAAGAGCAACAAAAAACTCCAACAGGCCCAAACACACAAATTTAGAGGTAAAAGAATGGAGTATTCAATAACAAATGCCAGTACCACAGATAATCCATATGGAAAAAATTAATTGATGCTATCAACAGCATACAGCATAGTCCTACATAAAGACCTAATGTAAAAAGCAATCTTTAAAACTTTCTCAGGACACCAGACTAGGGAAGGTTTCTTAGCTAAGATAAAAAGACACAAAACCCTAAGGAAAAGATTGATAATATATCTTACACTACAAAAACTTCAACAACAGCAAGATTACCATGAAATAAAATTAAAATACAAGCCACAGACCTGGAGAAAATATTTGCAAAGTATATAACCAGTAATGGACATAGTGGTCAGATAACATAGAGACCTATAATCAATATTTAAAAAAGAGACAACACAGTAGAAAAATTAGCATAGCGTATAATTTACTGTTCACAGAAAAGGAAAATCCAATAATTAATAAGAATAAGAAAAGAAGCACATTCTCTATCTGTGCCAGTAATTAGGGATATTAGGAATATTAAATATTAAAACAATGAAATGTCATGCTTTTCAAGGTAGATGAAATTTAAAACTTTCACATTCAGGTATTGGAAAAAATGTGAAACAAGAACATTCATACAATACTGGATGCATTATCATCTGGTACAACTACTCCAGAGAGCAATTTGACAATATCTAATAAAGCTACTTATTTGTATACTGTTCAATTTCACTTCTAGATTATACACCATATGTGCTCAAGGAAATGAGTCGTAAGAGCTTTCACTGAAGAATTCTAGCACTGAAAAACTGGAAACAATCTAAATGTCCATTGTAAGGGTATAAACAAACTTGGTTATAGGTATAAGATAGAATACCATACAGCAATTAAAACAAGTAAATTGTTAGGAACAAAAGGGAGTTGAAGAATGATACATACTCTGATAATGCCATTTATATAAAGTTTAAGTGAACACATAAAAAACACTACATATTTTTATGGATAGTTGAATGCTTCATGAAAACTAATAGTTAATAAGTAATAGCATTTTTTACTCCATTTCCAGAAATGGCAAAGTTTCTTCACAGAAATATTTTAAGCACATTAGCAACATGGGTCAAATATACTGATCAGCCCCATGCGTTTTCCTGATTCTGAGAACATTGATTGTGGCATCAACAGTAACATGTTTAAGGGGGCCTGGGTGGCTCAGTCAGTTAAGCATCTGACTTTGGCTCAGGTCATGATCTCAGGGTTCGTGGGTTTGAGCCCCGCCTCCGGCTCTGTGCTGACAGCTAGCTCAGAGCCTGGAGCCTGCTTCAGATTCTGTATCTCCCTCTCTTTCTGACCCTCCCCTGCTCACACTGTCTCTCTCTCTCTCTCTCTCTCAGAAATAAATAAAACATTTAAAAAAATTAAAAACAAAAACATTAAAATGCTTGCTTTAAATGTAAATATTTAAACCTTTAAAAGAATTATAGATTATCAGATTAAATTCTTAGAAGTATGATTATATCTCATTATTCTTCAGAATAAATATTCCATTATATTTTTATATACATACATTTGTATTTTGGATAATCAATTCTGTAAATGATGTATTTTCTCTGCCCAATATATGTATAAGCAAGCAGTTTTTGTAAATCAAATGGTTACAAATATAGTAATTTCACATTTGTAGAAAGGAGCTCTGCAATAATTTTTTTTGAAAAATCCTTTTCTGTGTCACCAATTTTAGATTCGTGAATAATAGTTGGCTACACTCATTTTACAAGGCAAATCACACGAGTATTGAATCCATAGTAACAACGAAATGGATGTAAATATTTGATCGGATGCATCAGCTCACGTAATACCTGGAATTTTACTTGGCTGCGCTACCATCAGGAAGTGGCTATAAATGAAAAAATTGTTTTCTGGATGTAGTGGCATTACAATGCCATCTTTCATACTCAGTCGTGACGCAACCACTATAAACTGAATCGTAAGAGCATGTGCTGTGGTAGAGACTAACGGGAAAACGGTAGTTCTTTCCACTCTCCGAACATGGGAAAATTGTTCCTCAATTTGTGGTTTGAGCGCATGGCAGACTGTCATTCTCCTCCGCTCTGCCCGTTAGACCCCCTGTTGGCTCCATTCTGGAAGGTCATACACACCCCAGGCCTGGGGCTCCGCCACAGCCGCTTTCAGTGCTGTCTCTCAGCTATAGTTCTTGTGTGCAGCAAACAGCGAGGGCGGAGAAGGGATCAGGATATCCTAGGACGGCTCTAGGGAGAGTCTTACAAATCAGTGATCCTGCAAGTGTGGCCCCTAGATTCGGATCATCAGCATGCAAACTTGTCAGAAAAGGAAATTTGCAGGCATATCCCATAGCTACTGATTCAGAGACTGTGGGGTGTTGCCCAGCAATCTGGATTCTAATAAGTCCCCACGTGCATCTGATGCACAGTAAAATTTGAGAACTACTGAGTTATAGGAATAGCAAAAAAAAATTAAAATTTATATGAGACAGATGAGAATAATAAGTTAGAGTTTGGTGTTTACATGCGAAAAATTACCCAATAAAATGACACTACACACACGCACACACATTTTATTGATCTTTAATGAAACTAATCTTTATCGCTATGCCGTACTTGCCATGAAAGAGATGTTGATTAAGAATAACCAAAAAGGGGAAGGAAATGCTTCAATGAGATGAAAATGGAGCAAAAAGCATAATGTCTATGTTGAATGAAAGGAGTATGTGATTGATGTCGAAGGTTTATGTTGTAAACATTTATCCAATGTCTACTGTGTGTGAATTCTGTAGCACAGACACAGAAAGATCTGGAAGACATATTACTGGGTGAAAAAGGGTAAATTGAAGAGTAATCTAAATATTAATTTTATTTATATCTTTAAAACCAACAAGCCAAAAAAACTTGTGCTTACTGCTCTGGAGATTAGTGAAAGATAACCA